CCCCAAAACCCCAAAACCCCAAAACCCCACAAGAGTAAATATTTATTCTGCAATTTAGTTAAATTTCTAATTACTCATTGATTTATAAAATTAAAATTACTAATTCATTATTATGACTGATGGTATAACATAATCAATATCTATGATTCAACAGCTTGAACTACTCTTCTAAAGATTTACCATCTAATGCCTTATGATCTTCATCAGCGTAGATCAATATATTCTCGATCATTTACTTCCCGAAAAATTCCTGTAGAATATCTCCCTCCTCTGATAGTAATGCCTTTTTTCTTTCTTCATATGTTTAAGGCAATTATTCTATGCATATTTCGACCAACTTACTTTCAGAAATCATTTTAGGCATTTCATTCACTGGCTAGGGGAGTTGCATCTACTTATCAAGTCCATCAATGGCAGAAACGATAACAGCAGCAAGAGCGAGATATTAGTTAGCTGTGTGATCCATAGTTTTTAACTCAAAGTGGGTGGGAATCCATTCCCTTGAGTCAGGTTCAATTAGTCTGATGCTTGCATCTCTATTTTCTATGCCCCATATCTTGTAAGAACCTGCGCATGAATTAGCTTAGATCCTGTTTAGACTATTTGGAGTCGGTGTTAGGAAATGAGTCAATGCTCCTAAATGGGAAAGAATACCTGCCATAAATGATTCTCCTTCTTGACTTAGTTTGTAATTACCTTTACTACTCCCAAGTATATTTTCACCATTTTTCCAGATGCTCATATGAAAATGTAATCCATTTCCAAACTGATCTTCAAACAGCTTTGGGAGTAAACTGACTATTTTCCCATCTCTCTGCAAATGCTGTTTAATAACCTGAACGGCAAAATGATAGTCGTCTATCGATTTCATGACTTCATCATAGTTTAATACTATTTCATATTACCCTCTTGCTGCTTCTTTATGCATGTTTAATACCTTTTAAGGATCCTTAAAATATTAAAATATCTTACCTTAATTCCTTGAGATTTAAGTTCGTTGGAGATCTCCATCAAGATCTCTGCTTCTTTCAGTGTTGCATCAAGATTCATAATGGTATTTTGATCTATTGGTTTTCCCATACTGTCAAAAACATTAAACTCTATCTCAAATCCTATTTTAACTTATAGGTTATGTCTCTTCTAAAGAGTTTAAATTGCTGTAGTGAGTAAATTTCTAGGACAAAATTCGCAGAGGCTAGAGTCTTTATAATTGAAGGAGCAATTTACGAAACCAATATTTTTTTCTTTTTCTGCATTTTGCTTATCAGTAGATTTAGAATTAATTCTTAGTATCTTAACAGCAGAGTCTGGCTTAAGTATAATGCTTGATAGCCTTTAAGGGTGAGTAAATGTTGGAAGTAAAACCTCATGACTTATTGGCTAGAATAATATAAGCATAGGTATTATTGCCAAGCAAGAGTCTCTCCTCTATTCAAACATATCTCTCCTCACAATCTAGGCTTATCTTTGGCCATTACATGCCTGCCAAAATAATATGACATGGTCGTAATTTTTATGATCATCATCATATAGCTTATTCAATTCAGCAAAAATGTCGTTATTCGCAATCATTTCCTAGCTTTATTTTTTATTAAACTTTAAAATTACTTACTTAAATAGTTTCATATAACACTTCTGCATTAAAATAATTAAGTAAATTAGAACTAATTTAAGATATTAAAGTCTTAAGGAATTACTAATGTTTTCACAATTTATTCATCAAAATATTGATTACCATCGGTTCAACTTAAATAAATTTATTTGAATTTTATGCTAATTTATATTCACTCTATAGTTGATAAATTCTTTCATGATGGGGTTTTGGGGTTTTGGGGAGATCGGAAA